TAGATGAGCTCATTTTACAAACTTACTGCGCTTTCATTTGCTTATAGAAAACTGGGTGGACGCAACTGCTTGGCGTACTGCAAGCGAGCGATAGTCGCTGGGAATTTCCCCTGGTTAGCCTCCTGCTCTAGGCCGAGCAGTACTTAGAGGTTTATTCAAAACTAGGGTATTGGAATCATTCAGTAAACATTAATCCGAATAATCCTTTAGAAATTATCTAGGAACCATACTAGCGGAACAATTCATCTAGAATCTTCTGAAATTGTTGGATTTTTTTTGAGAAATATCGCAAACTGGTTGGCTCCTGAAATTCGAAAACTCCATTCTGTGGGAAATGATAAAAAATCACAGGAAAAATAAATAATTAAAAAATTAGGAATCACACAGCTACACGCACGATAAACGTGGTGGTTTCTGAAAAAGATAGCTTTTCTCAATTTAGCCAAGTGTAGGCAGGTTAATTAAAGGCGGAGGATGGGCGGAGTGTGCGCTGGCGAACGCCTGGCAATCAGCCACTCATGGCCGCTTCTAAGGAGGGCATCCTCTTAATGGCCGATCCCTTGAGCTGAATTCTGAATTCTCTGGCCTTTCATTCCCAACGTAATCCATGGTTTCATTCCCCTTACTCTATTCAAAAGAGAAGAATAACTTATATTGCTACGCGTCGAGTTCAAGATGCTGTGAACGGGTTGACTCACCTTTGTAGAATTCTTGGAAAAGAACTACACGGTCGTCCGGCTGCCATTCTGGATCGGTTTCAAAGCGGATCGACTTTCGTGCTTTCCTTTCGGCCATCCATCGTTCTTGAAGTGTACATAAAACCCGCATGAAGACGATGTACGCATGCTTTTGACCTGAAACATTAACAATATATTTTACATCGTGTTTGTTACTTTGGGAAGGGATAAAGCGTGGGATTACAATAGCATACGCAAAAGAACAAATTATTGCTCTTCTCAGTTGTTTCCTCTACTTTTTGGAGTAAAAGTGGTACCAGTTATACATGAGATAGTAATGGAGTGGGCTAATTTGAGAGCCATTTAGTGCGGTCGTCGCTATGACTCTTAGGCGATTTCAAGATGTGGCACATTTTCGTGACGACCACTGTTAATGGAAGAGTTATTACAAGTTTGTTCGTCCGATGGCACATAAGAATGTGGCACAACAAATGGAGACGTTCATTACTATCGTAATTTGTCGCTCACTTCACCACATGCTCCACAGGTTACCCTTCCTGGAACTAAAAAAAACTTTTTGTTACCAATGTCGATCAAATGGTTGATACTGACTAGATTACACAGTTGTTTCCCGGGCGACCGTGCCGCTGACCACACCCAGCTGTGGGCTCAACAAGATTTTGGTAGTTATGACATACATTCATCATGAACATGATCAGTACGCTAGATACGCCTTTTTATAACGCAGCAATCGCTTAGTAAATAACCTAACAAAAACGTAAAGGCCTGAGGTCTACGGGGTGGCGATTCCAGTCCCTTCTAAAACACTCATTCGAAAACTTTGAATGTGCAAGTTAACATCCTCTTTAGTATTCAACATTCACCATCGACGCAACCTTCGACGCAATCTTATAGCCCCATCAAGCGAATATCTGCGATATCTGAACCACACCCTTGTCCGCAGATCATTCTAGCGGCGAACGGACGTAAGGTCCGGTTTTGGTTGCGCAGATTTGGATTACTCAGCCGCGGGAACTGATAGTTCCTGTGATATATGGTTCACGACCACTCCTCCCTTGAAAGCCCTGATACTAAGATTACTCGAATGGGCCGTCACCTTACCCAAACGTTCATCCAAGTTTCATCCAAAACGGTTTTGGCCACGCCCTTGTCTATGGTTGGTACTCGACAAGCAATTACACAACGTAATATACAAGTGTAATTAATAAAATTAATATCAATATGCACTGGTTTCTCTACCGACCAATCACAGGTGCCATTCTAACGTTTCAAGCTGCGCGCCGTACGAATAAAAGAACAATCAATCGATATGAGGGTGCGCCGTGCGTTTCACCGCAGTTGAGATTCGTAGAGAAGGTTAGGTTTTTGCCAGACCTTTACAATAACTTGCTAAGCCTATCGAACCACTTTTTTGAATCTTATCACTGAATAGTCGTTTTAGCAACTTCGTTCAACTGATGCATAAACTTTGCGAAACAAAAACACAAGATTAACAACACAAGCACTAACTCGAATAGAACCTTTCTGTAAGGAGAGCAGTAATTAGATCTTACCGTTAGCGACCCGATAAGTAGCATCGTTTGGTTGTCCGAAAACTCGCGTAAATGCCGGCCCCACCCGCTTGTCGACAAAGGGATTCTGGATTTGTCGTGATGAACTTAGCGCTAAGAGCGTTTCACTGATCAATGGATAAGAGACAATCGTATCTGCATCGGAGATGAACTGAAATCCAATTAATTAGTAGCCGACTAACAAGGATGTAGAAAAAAGCACAATCGATAATGATGGACTCGACTTCCCCTTTAGTAAGGATCAATCAATAATGCTCACTGGTGAAGGCCGGGTGGAAAAATTGGTACGGAGGCATACACAATTATGAATTCTAACTTTTATGGAGAAGTTTTTGACGACAATAACCCTCACACTTCACCATATTCCCCCATCAAGCCGCTTTTCAGCTGTCCAAATCTTTCGGAAAAAGTCTAAACAACAATCGCGTTTACCATGAAATTAAGGCAGCATACTTAAACTTGTGGCTTCCTCTCTCATTCAACTTAACTTTCCGAACTCCCGTGATGTTTCGAGGAAGGGGGATCCAATGACAAGCATTTGGGCGCAGGAAGAATAACGTTCTCGTAGTGAAGAAAAAAAAATTGAGTTTTTGGAAAGATAAGGAAAAGTGAATGACCTATCTGGAGAAGCTATGCTGATACCAAATAGGGATTCAAACTATGAAAAGCTATTAATTGCAACAATATTAGCCGGAATTTTGAGCGAGGAAAATGAATTTAGTCACAAGTCATCAAATTATGTCATTGAAATCAAAACGCTTTCAGTTCGAATCGAAGCATTTCACACTTTCCCTCTTCGAGCTGACTAGCATCACAGTAGTGATTTGACGAGTATGCTCTAAATCTATAGATAGGTAGGAGTAACAGGGATAGTTGTTGTAGATGTGGAAGAATAGTGGCTCTATTCTAAGTTAGAGGATCCGGAAAGGCGTTAGAGTAGTGCAGCGGGATCACTGTGTGCGCAAAGATCCGGGCTCAAAGGCTAGAAAAGATGTCGTCTTGAGCCATGAATTTGAGGAAAACATCGAGAATAACTTCCTACGGGAAGAAGCCTCCCTTAAGAGAGTCAGAATGTAGATGAGAACGATGAGCTTCTGATCTTTTTTAGGTCGGCAAAAATTGAGGGCATGATTAGCTTCCAATATTATTGCAGGAAGTATGAGCTCACCATATAGGTTTACTATATGAGTTGCAAAAAAGTGGGGAAACGGCGACAAAACGCGTCGCGTGCAGTCGAACCTATTCGGAACTCTGAAAAGGGACCGTATGCATGGCGCATCCGGAAGTGATAGCTTGAGGAGCTTATTTCACTTATCAGAAATTTTCTATAATGAATCTTAGAAGAATTCGTACACATCAGAAGCTGCCGGAACGCCACTGGATTGGATGGAACGTGTAAGAAGTGCGCTGAAGGGAGCTGAAAAGGGTTATTCAGGATCCAGTCAAGTCTCAAAACGGAGATGAGCTTCACGCCGTTCTTTTGAAGGTGAATTGTAAGTCAGTCATATTCACTACACAAGCTACATCTGGCTTCGAGGCAGTGCGGTAGCAATCTCAACCCAGCTGGTAGGACAAAAGGAGGAATTCTGAACTACATCGTCGATCTCTACTGTGAAAGACTCCCTTAGGTCCACGTGAATGTATGAAACACAATTCATTCTCCCGTTTGACCGTGCAGGGTTGTGCAAGGCTCAATAAATCTTTCCATTTCAGTTATGGCCAAGCCGAAAACGGAAATGATGTTTTCCAAGAGTTTTTGAAAGCTTGCCGCGATGTTTGCACCATTCGTTCATGATTTATGATAGGTCTCAATTGAATGAAAAGGTCATATAAATCGTATAGGCAAATTCCACCCCCAACAACATCAATCACAGTATTTTCTACTTAACAACACACGTTCCACATCATGTCACTTTACAGTAGCAGTAATAACTTTGCAAGAGACCGAAAAAGTCATAAATTGCATCAGTAACGGAGAAGTAATAGAGATATTTAAAGAAATACAGGGAGGGAGCATATCGAAATCGATTCCTCGACATTTGGCGCGCAAGCCGCGTGGGAATGCAATCGACTGATAGATCATGAACATCCTATCAATGTTCTCTTGATTTCAGCCGCTATCCTTCTCAGACACTAGAACATCCCACAAGGAGGACCCGATTGTAATTTTTTTTATAGAACAATTAAAGCAATCCGGAAAGCGAAAGAAAATCTCGCGGTCTACTTCGTTGGGGTGGGAGTAGGGGGGAGGAAAAAAGTCTTCCTTTCAGGTGAAATTCCACGAGGATAGGTTACCCAACTTAAAATGATGAAAGAGCATAGTCGTTTATTACTTGTAGGAGCACAAAAAACATTCCCTCACAATAATAGCCTCCTACACTAATCAACAAGATTGGAAATTAATATAGAGGAAGCACGATTGAATGGATCTATACAGACGGAAATTTCAGGAGCGGTGAGCTGATGAAGTCGTCCCCTGAAGCTGAAGGAAGACATCTTATACCTCGTAAGCGCCAACGAATTATTCAGGGAGTTCGAGTCCTTCAATCTGTACCCTCACCAAAAACCCCAATTTAATTTGGGCCCTTCTACTTCCTTTTATTACTGAATCGATCTAATACAACAAGATTGATCACTGTGGAGGGCAGAAAAAGTAAAAATTGTGGTAGATTCCGGTCTGTGCCCGATACTTCACCATCACCAGACCCTGCACCAACAAATTACCAGTTGTCGGGCATGTAGAATCATTTGAGAGAAAATTTTCATCCATACAGTACGATTTTTCAATCTTTAATTATTCTACGACATTTTTATTTATTTTTATAGGTATTTCTGTAACAGGAAGGCGAGGCGATTTTTCGAAAAGGGGTGTTGGGAGTTTTCCAGAAAAGGAGAAATTTATTATCGCAGTTAAATGAATGGGATGAAAAAACAGGATGTAATTGGTATTTGAGCAAAATACGTTCGAAAATGCTAGAATGTGGAAAAAAGCGGAAGGATGACTCAGTATTATTTGATTCCGCCCAAGAATAATGCCATTTCTAAGGGTGCTTGACAGGCTATTCAATCTACCGTATGCCCCTGTACATCTAACGATTTCGTACGATACAATGTATACACCATCGTCATGGAACGTACGTACCTGTTGTGCAAGTTTAATGTCACTCATTTCTTCGGCAAGAAATCGATGAATGCATATGAAGGCGTCATCGGTATGAAATAGAATTTCGTCGTCATTCTGTACATAGTTTACAACATAACCGCGTACTGAAATCACCAAACGTGACCACCATAGACGGTCGAGGGCTGACTGCATCTGTAAGCGAACCGATTTGTATACACCCATGAAATGGTCTAAGAATCTTTAAAAATCATGCAAAAATGTCTCTCATCAGTTGCCTCTTCAGCCGATTTAATCTATGATTTCTTTTGCTAGATTTGAACCTCAGAAATTGAGAAGCAAGGGAGTTGGGCTACCAGTCGTCTGAACACCACTGAAGACTCTTCGCAGACTAACAAACTCCTAGTTGGTGCAGACCACCTAGAGCCGACTAGAAGATTTACTTTGCTCTATAACGTTTGTAAAAGATGACCATCCTCAAACTCGGCATTGATCTTAAGCTCTAGTTCTTTCACCTAAAATGGCGGATACTTGACTTACAGTTAGTGCGTGGCACTATACTCAGTCCTATCGCAACGCGCTGCGAATTTTGGTTAGATGCCACGTTGCACGACATTGTACGACTAGAGTGAAACCCCGTTACACCTGTGTGGCCCGAGATTGCAGTGTTGGAAAACCTTCCCAAGCAACTCATTCATTTTCTGGGACTATGAAACATGACGTTTCGTGGGCTAATGGTGAGCTTGACTGCTTACATTGTAAGTACTAGCGACTGGACACTTAAAATAGGACAATATGGGATTAAACGATAGCACGACATTCGCGTTATACGAATTACACTGCCATGGAATAATTGGAGAAAAAGGAGTTTGAAAGCCGATGCGTCCAAATCGCAAAGGAAGGCAACTTGGCCAGTTGGCTTTCAAACTCGTTGTGAGATGTACTCAATGCCTATCCTTCCGCAAAATCCAGTAGTGGCTGCAGAAGCTGCCAAGTTTATCGTAGACCAGGTTATAAAGTAATTTGACAAGATAACCCAATAATCAATAGAATACCTGTGTGAAACAATTGACATCAACGGGCACTGTATGAGGCTTGGTGTTGAGTAATGCATCCTTCGGAAACAGTTCCATGTCTTCCATGGATACTGTTAGCGTCATTATGGTAGTGAGTTTGTACAGCTATGCTGAAATCAGATAGTAAACGATGTACGGTGTAATGTTCTGCAGGTTCTGGACCAGCGCTGATTGGTGGGCCCGATGACTCACCAATGGGAAGTCATCTAGGCTAAACCACCAATTAACAGGTCGCTCAGCGAACTTTGTACCTTGGTTTCTTTGAGTATTTTGAGCAATGAGACACCAATTGAAGATACAGTCGTATCAAGCACTCACAGGGGTCCAATTAAAGCGAAATAACCAAAACAACCGGAACACGCAACGCGAAATATTCAGGCGTTGGGTTTTGCATCACATTCATGGGAGGGTGGTTATCAGTTAGTTCAAAGACTACGAGTTTTTTGAGAAAAGTCAAATTAAACGAGTGTAGATGAACCCAAGGAAAAGAAAGCACAGGGAAGAAAGGAACCCCTCTGAGGAAATGTGGTTTTAGACAGCTAAAAAAATCTTTAAAAACAACAACAACAACACGTAGGGAACTGATATGAAAATCACTCTATAAAACAGAGGTAAACAATACCGATGTAGGGAAAAAAGGTAAAAAGCTTTTCAAAAAATTGGATTGGAGCATTTCTTTTGGACCAAATAGAACCTTACAGCTTTGAATGATTGAAGATTGAAGTAAGTAATTAGTCATAAGGGAATGAATGATGATCGGCAGCAGAATTAAGATGCTCCAGAGAAAAAAGAAGTCTCCAACAGCCCGAAATTGCTCCAGATTTGGATCAAGTTATATGAGCTCAGCAAGGATCAAGTCAGGCGAATAGAACATTCGCTATCAAGTCTGAACCCTCCTTGAGCTTTGCTCTTGAGCGTCTGTCCTATTCTTGCCTTTTTTAAAAAGCCTCGTTGAGAGAGAGAAATGTGAATGAACGGACTGAAAAAAATGATAAATTTCTGTCATTACAGTAGCATACATTCCAAAAAACTGCGCCGACTTATGTACCAGTCCACATTTTAGTCCTCAAGAAGGAGTTTTTTCTTTCGGATTGAAAAAAAACCGAATAGAGAACGTCTTCGATGGTTTTCCGAAAACCGGGCTCAACAAATAGAACATGAGGAGGTAAAAGGTTGAAGACGCGCGAGCGGGCACGTAGCGGCTAAAATGGACGTGAGGTCAATCGATCGGGTCGATTGGTCGGACCTAAACGGGTCACTTATTCAGCTTTTAAGGAATCATTTATTTCTTACTTTGTTAGTTACTCATGAAAAGACAGAACAGTAACCCAAAACTAACAAACGAGAAGAAGACTCAGCGACTAAGCAGCGGTTTCGGAGCGTCTTAGTCATCAGGTAGACAAACTAGTTGAGTAGATCGATTGGTGTCGTACCACCTGAGATTTCTTCGCCATGACTCTACGACTTCACCCGTTTTATCCCGAATACGGCCCTTCTCATTGGATCAGATGGTTTTTCGGACGATTTCAGTCACATGTGAGCGACATGAACGCTGTTTCTTATCAATGACAGATTTCCATGTGTCACTTTTTTTTCAGCGAAATCACACGAGTAATTGGCACTGTCGGCATCGTTCTTCATTTGTCGAATGCCTTTTTTTGGTATCATCACGCCTACTTCAAAGAACAATACTAGAAGTGATATCCCATGTTTTACAGTAAAGTACACCACCGAGTAACGTACCCAAAAACAACAGGTCTCGAGGAATTCCACGGTAAGATTGGGGCGGAGGTGAGCGGGCACGTAAAAACGACGTCATGCTGTGGATTAAGGTGATGGGGACATCAAGACGTATAGAAATGAATGGACTATGCAAATTCAGAAACGGTCGTGGCGGAATGATCAATAGGAAGGTAGTGGTGATTGAACAAGATGCAGGCCAAGAACAGGTTTGTCAGCCCGTCGGGTCGGCAGTTAGTCAGGGCCGGCATATCGCCAGCCACACGCGATGAGATGACTGCTGTGGTCGTGTTCGGGAATGAGTGACACACCCGTAGCAGCTAAGAGGGCGGTGGCTGGGTGTTCGCCCCTTAACTGATCCGATTTCGTGAATGTTTGACTACGATCACCGAAAGCATCGGTTGCAACATTGACGGCGATATCTTACGTGAAAGAAACCGGTTTAACAAGCGACTTGGGTTCTTCTACGGGAGCTTGGTTTATAGCTTTCACAAGTGCTACAGTCAACGGCTTAAAGGCACAGTTCACGAAAAAAATGGTTTCTGAGGTTCCCCCACAGGATGAATTTGAGGCTCCCGAGTATACCATATCTGGCACTATTAGTCAAAAAACTGCCTAGTTAGGGAGTTATAAAGGCTCAAAGATTGGCCCATGTGTATCTTCGGACGAGTTACACCGGCATTGTAGAGGCTGCACCGATCAGAAGAGAACCCATGACCTACAGCGACAGTGAAAGGCAGTTCTGTACAGTTCTGGCATGATGTAGTCAGCTCTTTCTGCAATTGCAATAACTGAAAACTCGTCCGAATACCCCTTCCACGTTACTTCCGTCACGGCAATCTCGTCCGTCCTCGTTTTTCCCTACTTTTGAGGGGCCATATTTTTTCTCGAAATCGGCGAGTTCGCTCGCTTTCTTCACTACCGATGAACTATTCCCAATCTATACTTCCACTTTCTGAATAAAAACGGGCTCCTCAACATTATCGTCAGCTGTGTCTTTGAGCTTTGAGCGACAGGAATTCAGTTCATAGAAAAGGGGAAAAATGGAAATATTCAAACCCTCGGAATGTGAAGGCACATAAGTACATATGACCATAGGTAAAAAGGGAACGTCATGGAAACAGTACAGGAGGCTAAGAAAATGTTTTGGAAGGTCAGGACGGACGTCCTCAAGGTCCAAAGAAGCAGGAAAAACTCAAGCTCGTTCCTATAGAAAATTCCCGTTTTAAGAGCAAAAGTAGAGAAGTACCATGTAGCGCCGCTACCACCTCACCAGTTCAGTGATCACAGCCTTCTGAAAGGTTGATACTTGTGGGACGAACTCGTTTCCGAACAGCTGCTTGATTCTACACTGCTGTGAGTACGAAATCACTTACTCGTTCCTCGGTTGGTCCCCGGAAGTCACCATGTGAGCCAGACACATAGTCAAACACCACTAAAACTCTGAGAGGAAGGTGTTTATGTAGCCGCACCACAGAACGGTTCAGACTGAAGCCGGAATTCTTTGTTCTTTGTTCTGAGACAGTTCTTACAAGTTACAAAGTTAGAATTTCGAATGAAGAACAGCAATATCGTGAAGGAAACAAGAAGTCCTTTATGTCTGTAAGAGGAACACTAACTACTAAACGAAAGTGTCTAGGCCCAAATTAAACCGCCTCCTAACGACCATCTTTGTTGGAACAAGAACAAGTGGGTGAAAGTGTGACGATTGGTGAACATTCTCTAATGGAAGCAATGGAATGGGCCGAATAACCATTGAAAGCACAAAGCACTGTGAATTGGTTCCTGAATCTCTTCCTAGGATTAACCACATGCTATGAACCCCAATCGTAGCACGTAGGATATTTTCGGGACGAAAAACGACGTCCACGGAACGTTATAGGAGTTCTGAAATCGGCCTGGCCGACGTACACACCCAAAAGTGGCCGTGTTATGACAGCCTTGTTAGGGCTGCGCCATTCACAATGAAGCGCTGGGACGCCAACGAATAGTACGTTTATGTGGGAGACACCCAGACGGAGACGCATAGTCTTATATTTCAAAAAATCCGCCGATTCTAGCGATTTCTCGACATTTTTGCACTGTTCTGCACCATACCTTCACTCACCATATTTCACTCAAGCTCGACATCACAGAATTACCAGGATCTGTCCCTTTAAAAGCTAGCACAGCTCATGGAGGGTGAATACAGAAACACGATATCGCAAAATAGACATGCACTCTATTTGGTCAGACAGGAGGAATCACCGAATTCGCCTATTCCTGATTAATAACAACAGGTCAGTAAGAACGGAGCCGAAGAAAGAAAAGGAACAGTCGTATCCTATGTGAGTTGTGCTGTTTCTGCTGGGAAGTGTCGCCGATATAGGCTTAAGCAACTAGTTCTGAGGACTATACGAACATCGCTGAACACGTCTGGAAAGGCTACGGAAGACAGTCCCCGAACAAAGAGTGACATAGTACATAGAAACAACATAGTATACAACAACGTAGTGCTAGGAAGTAATTTTGAGATACGGTGATGTAAATATTTTTGAGGTGAGCAGAAGTTACAGTGGTAGAGGCCCAGACTCGGCGTAGATTGGATCCCACTCGGACCATTCATTTTTTCTAGGTCGGTCAGTTCGCACCAAAGCGGCGTGGGAGGATATGTTAGGAAAGCTGCAGACCACACATACACAGAATTACACTATTTAAAGTAAATTAGTACGCGAAACAAGTGTTTGAAGTACTTCCAAATTCGATTCAAACCAAATGATCAGCGGATCACGGACGAATTAAGTATTTTG